TACATCTTGAAGTAGAAAATTAATGAAAGACAGCAGCACCTCTCTGCTCCATAGGGCTGGGGGATTCAGGGATATCAACAGCCAAAAATTGCAAAGGTGATCCCTCCAAGGATCTTTACCTGTGSATAAATATCTTGGCACARATGGTGCYGTGGAATGGTTTGGGTTGGAAAAGACCTTGGAAAAATGGATTTTCCCTGGAAAATCCCATCTCATTCCAGCCCTGCCATGAGCAGGCACACCTGAGATATTGCTCAGATTTCCAACTTGACCACCGGTGAGGAAAAATGTGGTGGGAATCCCCAAATCTTATTAACCACGAGCTGCAGGGGCAGGAACTAAGGGTTTGGGTGCTCAGTGGGTGATGCTGGCACAGAACAGCCCCACAGGATGTGCCAGCCTGGGAATCCCAGCAGGAATCCCAATGGGAAACCACACCCAGCCCTGAGAGCCTGGAATTCCCACACAGTGCAGACAGGAGGGTTTTTATCCAACTCCAACACTCGGCATGGGAAAGGTTTGCTCTGGGAACTCCCATCTGGTGAAGCTCAGGGAAAAAAGGGTCTCCAAGTAAAAGTTACTGAGGCAYGAGGTTGGATTATATTGGTTTGTGTAAACACAACTGAAAGCCAAAATCAATAGGATCCATGCTGGCTCCTCCAAACAGGCCAAATTTAGAGGAGAATTTCAGTTTCCAGCTGAGAGGGACAAATTGGGAACAGCTCAGAAGTTGTCCAAAAGCGTGAGAGCTGAGTGAGGCCATGTGGGTTTGAAACTCCCAGAAATTCCAGCTGGGAAGTGGGGAACTATCCCAAATCGAAAGCAGCCATTCAGGGTGATGAAACAGATGGGGAAAAAAGAAGGAATTGGCACGTGACAAATGAGGTGGGCTCTGTGGTTTGCAGAAAATTGGATTAAACGAGGAAAATGAAGGAGGAGAAGTCTCTGTCTCAGCCTCATCCTGGATCCCCATTGTCACCTGCCACGTGGTGGGGACAGAACCACAGCAGTGACGTGGGAAGGGCTGGAGAATCCCAGTTCTGTCCACATCTGGGAAATCCAGATGTCATAACCAAAGACAACAGAACACTTCCCATTCCAGAGGCAACGAGGAGCAGATGCTTCCCCATTCCAGCCCCATAACTCAACCCCAAAAGGAGGTTCCAGAGGTTTCTCCATCCCAGCCCCATAATTCAACCCCAAAAGGAGGTTCCAGAGGTTTCTCCATCCCAGCCCCATAATTCAACCCCAAAAGGAAGTTCCAGAGGTTTCTCCACCCCAGCCCTATAATTCAACCACAAGAGGTTCCAGAGGTTTCTCCATGTCAGCCCCATAATTCAACCACAAAAGGAGGTTCCAGAGGCTTCTCCATCCCAGCCCCATAACTCTACCCCAAAAGGAGATTCCAGAGGTTTCTCCAGCCCCATAATTCAACCCCCAAAGCATTAAAATCCTCCCTGACACAAGCACTGAATTTTCAGTTTGGCTCAGAGAGTTGGGGAAGCTCCAGGGAGGCTGGSAAAAGGCTTTGTGTTGTGGCAATATGGATTTTTTTTTTTAAAAAAAAGGCAAAAATAAAAAGCCAAACAGGAAGCTTTGAGTAATTACAGACCTCTTCCCTCAAGCTGAGCCCAAATAAAACAACAGAGCAACTGATATGGGGCTCATTAATAAAGAAACCACAGATAGCTAATTAATGCCATGGTTTTGGAAGGAATTGCTAACTTGGGATGTTGCCTGAGGAACCTAAAAGTGTTTTATTGACAGAGATAACGGTGCTGCTGGATTTCTGGAGGGTTTTTCAGTTGATACCGTGATCCAGTGGCAGAGGGGTTCAAGCCCAGCTCGGAGCATCCCTGTTTGCAGCAGCCTGGAAAACCAGTGTGACATTCTGCCCTKATTTTCAGCTGGGTCAGGCTGGATAAAACTGAGTTCAAAGCTCAGATTAGGCAGCTCTGGAAAAGCCAAAGTTTAGGAACTAACTCAACCCTCCTATTCAAGGTTTAGGACAGGTGGTCAAAGAGAAGAGAAAAGGCAGAAGTGATTTGACACCATCCATGACCCAAAGATTGCTCAGAAATGACAATTTATCCCTCAAAAAAAAAAACCCAAAAAATCCCAAAAGGAGCTCCAAGCTCCAGCTG